TTATCTCCTCTTCGTTTACATAATTTTTATCCTCTCTTTTGAAATGTTGTAATTACAGTCGGTTTTTAGCTTACAAATGTCAAAGGAGAAGGAGTTTATTATCCGAGAGAAAGCAAAGAAATGTGAAGAACTTTGAAATTCTTTGATGTAATTCTGTATTGATTATTAAATAGTAATTATTTCTTATCTTAATTTTTCAAGCGTGAGTTTGTTAAAGTAATCTAAGCGTAAGATCTTTAGCGATTTCCGCGTTTAATATGGGAATGTTCACGTCATGTTTACCGCTTGGTACATAATACTTGTCACGGAAAGAGCCGGAAGAACAACAATGCTCGTTCTGAGAGGAAACTCATGACTTTCATAAGTCTTTGTGCGTTTTCCGAGCGAGTTACCCGAGCACGGGCTCGGCAACTTGTTAAAATTCCATCGTGATTTCCACGCGAAGCTGCGAAGGTAGAAGCACGTCGAAAGAAACGATGCCAGCACTCGGATAATCTCGTGGCACAGATTATTGAGCACGTTTCGCACAAGTCCTTTTCCGTTTACTTCAGTAAACCAATAAACTCTAACTTCATTTCAGGTAAATCCCTACGAGTTTCATGTTCGAACTATTCGATCGGCGAAGATTTTCTTATCTGAAAGGCTTGTCGAAGCGCGCAAATTGACTAGCTGTATCGGTGCGAATATTTATACTTGTATTCAAACATTGCTGCAGCATAAAAATAATATTTTATGTGCCAATATTTTTTTGTTTTAAATACAGTTTACTTTATATAATTGAAAGCAAAAGAGAGAGAGAGAGAAAGAGAGAGAGAGGGGGGGGGAGAGAGAGAGAGAATACGGATGAAAAGGAGGATATCTTTTATATATAATATATGTATATACATACAGATTTGTTTTAAAATAATACATGTCCTAATAATATGTTAGTAAATTGTTTGAAACTTTTACTATTATACGATTTCATTGTAATGAGATTGCGATCGAACCGAAGATAGTTATACATACATATAGTTCCGTTCTGTCGTCTCTCGTCGCTTAAAACCTACATTCAGCGTGAATTTCATTGAAATAGTTTGCAGTAAAAGTTTATTATTCCCGATTGAAGAGCTCTCCACCGGGTAGGTTCGTGTGGACGTCATACAGCTTTAACCGTTTCTCGAATGTCGCGCGTTTTCAACGGACGAGAGGAAACTTCTACCCTCTCCCTCCTCTCCCCCTTCTTTCCTTCTGACAAACGTCTGAAATAGTGCATAGAACAATCGGCAATGTTATCTCGCGTAAGATCTTGCTTGATCGAAATACCTAGCGGAAATGGCCGGTCCAATTGTTAACTTCTTCCCGTACGCCTCGACGAAATAGTCTCGCTCGATTCGCCTGACGCCCTCGCCGCAGTTCGCTGCAAAATGCAGATACAGCCAGCAGCCGAAAAGCGGAGCGCAGTTTGGAAATGAAATTTCGCGGGAATTTATGATAGTTTGCACAATAAAAGTTACCATAGCTATCCGCGCAATCGTATCCCATGATAGAACTACGGTATATATATATATATAACGTATATATAACAGAATATTCGTTTTACACTCTACACATACGGGTTGTACGATATGCCACGGGATAAAAATATACGATGAAATAACAAACGCAAATCAGAACACAACATTATATAATGTAAATCGTATAACTGTGTTTAATTCCGAGTCCATCTGCATTTATTAAACTTGTATGCATTTTTTGAGAATACGTTTGTGTTATAAAAGCGGTATTTTTGTTATCGTTTTAATTGTTTTCTGAAATTATTAAAAAATTTCAAAATATTTCAAAATATTAAAAGTTTAAAAAATTCTACAGTGAACTCAGTTATTTAGTATTACGAGATAAGAGCACGCTGTTTATTGTAAATCGTTACAATGCAATAATACGTTCTAGTTTAATTATGCTAATCAGAAATTATATTCATATTGTAATGTAAGAAAAATCTGTTTAATATTTTTAATTTATTTTAGGCGGAATGTAGGTAATGAAAGAAATCTACAGTCTGCGGTTTCTTCCTAATCGTCGAAAGAAAGTAATCATTATTGCATAAGCGGCGGCAATATAGCAACAAAAAGCAAAGAGGTAGACAAAGTGAGGCAGGAACTTAATGAGAAACCATTGAATCACCTTTGGCACCGAAGTCTGCCGCCAAACGCTATTGCGACGCGGTTAAAGGTGATGAAGTGTGCTAAGAAAACACCGAAGCGCGCTGGTGAAAATGTGGATAGACAGACGTAGGGGCTGCTGCCTCTGAGGCAAGAAGCGTGACCCTTAATTTCGTTTCTCGTTAAATCGTTCTTTAACGAGAAAATAAGGCTGTCTTTGAGTCAGAACTCTTGAAATACAAAGACGCGATTTCCCTGGCGATATGTACGGTAACGTCGAATGAAATGAGACGTAAACGTCACAGATTAAACTGACATTCTCTTTGTCGCAGTTGTCACTGATAGGACTCCGAATTTTATACAATTTGTCAGTAGTCCATCTCTTTATTCTTAAAAACACACGCTTGAAGTATTCAAACTAAATCTTATATAATTTTTAATAAGATAAATACGTTTGACAAATCGCCTGCTTAAACGATTCGTGTTTCAGGTTTACATGGCGATTAAAGTGACAAGTATTTTAAGATCAGACTATACAGTAAATAGCTCTTGTACATTTCATGGTTATTGTTATCTCCGTTTAGATAATACGCGACTACCGAGAGCTCGCGTTAAATACCTATTCCAAAATTGTTCGCAGGTACGTGGTGATGGCAGAAATTCATATTCATTAACTGCGGACTGTTATGCACGAAATTCACGGTATATCTAGTATGTAATGTATTGTGTCTTTCGAGCAGAGCCGAGTCATGTTATTAAGCACTCCGTGCCATACCGACACATGGGCTTACCTTAATCAAAGCTTGTTAATCAGTTTGATAACGACTTTCCGAGGACGTGCTTGCGAATTCCAACAGTTTCACTCGATTCTGACTCCCATTATCATTAACACGTTGAATACTCTGACGGCCATTATGACAGTGGCATGTCTCGTTGATGTGCGCATAAAATTTAACATACACTGTATTACCGATCAAGTTGAGACAACGGGCGTATTTACCCAGACTGGAATTTCAGCCTTATGAGAAATTTTAAATACAATTTGAATGCTTAGAAATTTATTGATTTATCGGACTTTTCAATAATTGTACAGGACGTACGAATTTTTTAGGCTACGTTAAAAGTTTCCAGACTCATCTTTTTGACGCACAATACAAAAAACTTTCATCCTAACACTTGAAGAAAGTTGCATGTACAAAACCATTTACTCTGACATTTTACTATCGCAATGAATTTCAAGTTGCTTCAAGCGCGTTATTCGTTTTTTTTTTTTTTTTTCATCTCCGCCGTCGTAGTGGCGACAATTAACACTGCGAAGTGTTTTATAATAATAAAGCACTTGGGGGCATAATTAACACTGTCCTGTATCCGCGCTGTCGCGCTTGAAAGACCTAAAAGTAACTCAAACTTATCTTGAAGCTTGTCTCTCTGTACTTGTCTTTCGCTCTCTTTCCTTAACGATATTTTCCACTCCATCCTACTTCCTTTCTTTCATCTTTCTGTTTCTCGTTCTCCACGAGTTCTTTGTCCCTATAAATAATTCAGATGCTCGGAACGTCGTAAAGACATTAACGAAGGTAAAAGCTTTTAAGGGAGACCGGCCTGAATCCTGAACTCGTTACACTGCTTTAATGATAATAACTCTGCAATCAGGTCGGACGATGTATTGTCTAGACATGCGTGCAGGCGTGCCAGTATCAAACGTTTGTAAGTGAATAATAGTCGAAGTGATTAATCAAGTACTTAGCTCGCGACAGGTTTATCTTGATCAGATGCATAGTACGGTGCAGAAAGGAACATTTATTAACATGAGTGATGCCAAAGCGCGAATAATCGTTGATGTTATTTCGTCCCTTATCCCTTTCATTTGAGAACTTAAATTTTTTTCCTTGACTTTTCTCATTGGAATTACGCTATGATATAAGTAAAATAATATGTTAGGCTTAATACTTAATAATTTGAAAAAAATTGTACTAAATTTTAATAAATACTTGTTTAAATAGTACTAACATTTAGTTACAGTAAAAATTTACTCAATAAAAATGATATTTAAATCAAATTAATGGTTCTTGTATCAAATATATGTTTACATTTAATAAATATTTAATTAGGATTATTGAAATAAATTTTTTACAATTTAATACATTTTTTAATGTATAAAATTGTTCATACGAATCTCTTTAATAAAGTTTTGATTTTTTGTGTAATTTCGACTACTGACTTATAAAATAACAATAATTATTCTACAAGATAAAAATTATTAAAATAAATGTTACGTTTGGATCTTTTGCTACTGTTATTTTATCTCATAATTACGCAATTACTCAACAATGAGTATTAATTGTTTCCCCGCAGAGTAACGCATAAAAATTGTAAATGAATAGGGGGAGCTTATTTTTTAATTAATTAAATTACTACAGTCTGTTTTAGAGAAAAATTAAAGCTCGTAATGGTTGAGACAACAGTAATTTCAGAGATTATGATACATAGATGCCGGTTATACTAACCAAGACTACATTGACTCTTCAGGTTACAATATTTTCTATCTCTATCTACACTACGGAGTGCAATTTCGAAAAGGAAAACAAATTACTAATCAGACTTACTTAGCTCAGACGGTCGTTGCAACTTAGGGATCTTAAATTGAATTTCCTCTATGGGGAAATCTCCATATTTCTCGCAAGTATACTTGAGTGTCTGAATTTATAATTGTGTACGTTTCGTGAAATGTAACAACGTTAAATGTTAGAAAAATAGAAATGAATACAATAAAAAAATAAATATTTTGTCTTTTTTGTTATATTATTTTAATGATTTATTTTATTTTGTTGTTCTAAAATGTCTACGTTAATGTTGCAGATTCCGAATTACCCCGATTCGCCGAGGAAATCCAAAACGTGACAGTAAGCGTGGGACGTGATGCCTTACTGGCTTGCGTAGTGGATAACCTACGACATTATAAGGTACTTTAAATTAAACTATCTTTATTACTATTGTATATATGTCAAATGTCATATAGAAGATGGTTAGCTACTAGAATTACCTTTGCTTTAAATTTATTGATCAGAATCGTTTGGAATGATTAATGGAACAACCTTTGATATTATAAGATTACACGGTTTCAAATGAAATTTCTTCTCCGTTTCTGTTCCAAGTATGTCGGATTTTATATGAAATACTGTTATCGTATAATTATTCTTCTCGAGATGAATTCGAGCCATTGATTGACATATTTAGAAAAATTAAGGTCACATATCTATATCTCTTATAGTTGAAAATGTCAGAGCTTTTACAAGCATTTTCTTCTGCATTACTATTTTCTGCTCAACACTGTGCGAAATGAGCACAGATAAGAATGAATATAGAACAAGAGAAATAACTGCTGATACAATTAGATAATAGAAGATGAAAATGTTATACTTTAAAAAGATGTAACTAATGTCTTTGCTGTAAAGAAAACGTTACAATTCAAAGAATTAATATGTTACAACAAATGAGAATTTAATACTACTTATCCAGTACTAATTCTATAATATATTTGGTTAAAGCTCTCTTTCTATTCCAATATAGAAACTTGACACGGTTCTGTTTATTATTTTTTTTGTATTTTGATATATAATATATAATATGTGTACGTGTGTATTTTTATATATTTTTTATGTATATACATATGTATTTTAATTCTCCATTCTGATTTCTCATATCATACGGCACATAAAGTTATAAATGGAGTACTATTCAGAATTCTGACGCGAATTATGGATTGTCTAAAGTGAGCTTAAGAAAACGTTTTCAACATGGCAAATTGCTATTAAGCAAGATTCGAACTTTTCTTGCCTCCGCGCAAGAAGCGCTTGCACAAATTAAATGAAGATAGTATCTACTGAAATCCCTACGGCATTTATGGTCCGTAGACTGCGAATTGGACGGTCCTAGTTTATGTACCGTTATCAAAGATTTCGCATAATTGCTTCATTTTCCTTCAGTTAATTGAGATGACGTAACAATAGAATACAATTCGTTTTGCCGAGTAGCGACAATACTTACCAGAAATAACGCAGCTCGACATAAGCTAATAATATGTTTCTTCTTTCCCGAGATGACGTGATCAGAACCAAATAGATCTTAATAAATTATTCTGTATTTATCGCAAGCTAACTCGTCATGGATTTTAGTGCATCTTGTTAAGCGAGTAAATTAAATTCATACGTTTCCTTTAAGCGCATTTTAGGAATGTGCCTTGGTACATGTAATATAATTTGCAAGATATCCGCCACCCGTCTTTTGAAAATTTAATGAGAGATGAAAGATTTATGTTCTCGTCGTTCGACAAGCTTTCGTACATTCGGTATTCACTGCACATTCCGAGGAGAAAACATATTTCTCATTCAAAAATTTTCTTTCAACAGCATTTCGATTCTACTATCCATTTATCTTTTTAATCAAAAGGCTTTTATATGAAAAGCGTCAAATGCTTTTCTATGTTAAAGCTGAGAAATGTTGAATTTGTAAGTTTTTATATCGAAAATATATACCAATTATATATATATTTTTCTCATGTATAATATAGATAATGTAAATCTTAATCTACATAATAGAGTGCTGTTTTTAAAATTATTAATATAAAAACCTTAATAAAATTATAATCTTTTTTAATAATATATACTTATGAATTTTTAATATAAAATTTTTTGTGCTTGTTCTTCCTTTATATTGCTTTACAAGAGGAAGCATTTTTACTTCGTTTATAAAACATTCTCATTTCAGGATATGAAAATTTCTAAAATATTTCAAATTAGTCAGATTTAATTTTAAACTTACTTAGATTACTTAATTTTTTAAATATAAGTATAGTTCAATTTTCCACATTTCTGTTGTTAACGATTGCAACAATGTCAAGTTTAGGATAAACTTTCATCCGTTACGTCAATGAGGATGTGTCAGGAGTTGTGTCAAGATGAGTTATTAAAGCAATATTGTAACGAAATGAAATATTGTTATGAGCGTATGACTATGCATACATGTCTACGCATGTATTACATAGCGTAACCTCACGCCTACACACACACACACACACACATATATATATATATATATATATAGTATAAGAGTCGAGTACATATATAATAGTAGGTAGAGCTAAAATATTCGCGAGTGAGCTGATCTTTTCTACGAATGATACTCTCCAGTCGTACTACTAGAAACACGAAACATACTTGAGTTGCGCTTGCGGTGGAAATTATACTGCTGTAGAATTTGCGAGACTTTGGGCATGTTTTGCATGCTCAAGAAACCTCTTGCCCGTATCGAAAATTCAACGACGAAAGTGTGTGAGAGACAGGTGGTAGTAGGAAGAAGAGTGAGTAGTTCTGAACCTCCGTCAGTTTCTCGAGATCTATGTAAAGAGGAGAATACTATCTTACCCGATTATTGGTTTAAAAAAGAGAAAGAAATAAATACGATATTTTTTAGTAAAATATATAAATTCGCTGGAATATATGTATTTGAATTTTCACAAACAAGATAGATAGGTACATCATATGTTATGTTCAAGATCTATACAAAAGACACTTTAACTGAATCTAACATACATCTAACATAGTTTTTAGAAAGAGGGACAATATTATAAAAAAATAAATATGCTTTCTATATTTAAAATATAATTTATTTAATTGTAATTAACTGTTTGATACTGTTTGATTTGTCTTGGTGTGGCATATTTCTTCTACTTTGCTATGCTACAACTTTTAATTAATGAGAGTACATATGTCTGTCTATTATAATATTCCTTGATGTCTAATGATCGAATTTAAAAAAAATTGTTATATGTTCATTTTTATAAGATTTTTTAGTACCCAGTGGGTAGATGTGATACAACGAATGACACCGATGAATTAAATAATTGTTTTATTATTTAATATTATTGCGATTAATTTTATGGTTTGTGTATTTTATAATTAAATAAAATAGGGATAGAAAAAGTTGAAGATATATATATATATATATATATATATAT